AGCCTTGATTGCCCTTCGCCGGTAGGATTAGCCTCATAGAAGCAGATCGTGAGCAGGAGCGGCGTAAATGTTTGAGGGGAGAATGCAGTACACAGAACAGCAAAACAGAAGCAGAAGGTATAAAATACAGGCAAATAAGAGACATGAACATAAGTACTCACCACCATGTCCAACTGGGTTGCACAGTGATCAAAGTGGTGGGTTCAGCATGAAAGTTCCATAGGTGCTTCCACCTGCGGCACATAAGCGGCCAATTGAATGTTTCAATCCTTTCAGTAAATTCTGCAAAAGCGACACCAAGACTTTCTGCAACAAATCCATCCAACACATGATCATTGAACACATTGAATGGCGTGGGTGACCTTCCCTTCAACCTCTTTCAAGGAGGAGGAATTCAACGAGTCCACTCTCGATCTTTGCTCGGATCTTGGAGCTGAAATAAACATGATGGATAGAAATTTTACCAGACTGAGTCAGGTTGGAGATGAATTTTCCTTGATACTCACTTTCGTCTTGCGGGCTTGAGAGGCTTTGGATCGAAAGCCTTGCAGAAGACGAGGAACTCAATTTAGATATATTTACAATTTGATAGAAAGCAACAATCTCTCCCATATATTCCTAAATTGAACTAGAAGCAAATCCTCATCAGGACAGCAGATCCAACAAAAATGTTCATATCGTGCTGAATGGCTTGGCAGAGCTTAGTATCTCCAATTGCTTTGATGAGAAATCTCTGACCACTGAACTTGTCCCGACTATATACGATTGAACCGCAGCAAACACAGCATTCTTTCTTTGATAAACATAATGTATTTATTTGTAATTAATCAGAGTAAAAGGATATTTGAACGCATACTTCAGATCCTCTCTTAACTTTGTCTGGGTCACCGCATAGATAAATGTGTTTGTGCAGGATCTCAAAAGCTTAAGCATAAATCCCGTCTGTTGGAGGACATATCGAGAGCTGTTGACTTGTAATTGATAATTATAATTTGTAATTGTACATTTCAATTATAGATAATGTTCGTCATCCATAAGAGTATAAAACTTGCTGATATACCGAAGAGTAAAATAATAGATTTTCGTCGCTTTTCCATTTCTGGATCATTCTGTCTGTTCCAATTGTTATTGAACCGGATTCTCCGGCGTGTCCTGCTGGCTAATAAAATGTGTCTGATGGTCAGAGCATTGAAGTGGGAAATTAAAAGAAATACAACCAGAGGAGTGAAAATTCTGTTGAACCATGCAAACACTCTCCATATTGGAAATGTAGAATAGCTCGGTTTTCCAAGGAAGTACAATGGTAAATTGTTAATGATCATCAAAGGAGTAAATACAAAATACCATGGAATACTTTGTGCACAGTTTATCAAAGTCAATGTTATAATAACATAAATAGCAGAATTCACAGTGCAATATATTTTTTTCAACTTCTGATGACAAATAGCCACAAAATGATCGAAAGTGAAAGCAACTGTAAACCAGACTGAACATTTTGTGGCTAAAGCCACCAAAACAACTCTGACACTGCACACAGGAGTGTAAGATAAGAAACTATTATTATTCTTCAATTGCTTCCTAGCACGTGAATTAAATTCAAGAAAAACTTGATCGGCTCCGTTGTCTTTATTTTCAAAGTATTCCAAAACCCTCCTCACTTGATTCATTGACAAATTGGAACATCTCTTACTTCGTCTTGGAATTCAACGACTTCATTCCTCCTATGTTCCGGAAGCATTCGGAATTTAAAGAGAAATTACTTGCCGGAAGATAATTAATCGTGTCGATGAATGGCATTGCTGGACC